GCCCTTGTTTGGTAAAACTATTTAAAAAAAGAGTGTAAAAATTATTATGTAACAAATTAATAAAACTTCAAAGTGTTAATTATGTAATAATATAATTATTGGGTAATTAGTTAATAATTGTTATGTAATAAATTTATCGGATTGATTAATATATTTTAAAATGTTAACTTGTTAAATCAGTGAGCATATGAAATAACAGACTTGTTATATGAATGCTCTTATATTCGGTGGCACGAATGTATTAAACATATTTTTCATTTAAGATTTAACATATTATTAATAAACTAATTAATTTAACTATTTTTTATCAAATATCGATGAAAACTTAAAAGAAAGCCAATTAAAGAGATGGACAGGTATAAAATTTTCTCCCGTAGCTGTGTGGCTGACGTGACGTCAGCAGTGAGGGTTGGAGGCCACAGTGACAGATTGTTCGTCGGGATATCCCGAAAATCCGTGAGCTAATCTTCTCCTCATGGAAGTGATCAGTACTGTTCAGATTAATGACTCCTCATCTCAATAAAATGTGCATATAGCCTGACTAATCTACATCAAATTCACATACTATTGAAGTTTTATAAACATTATATTAAAACTAAACAGAGATCTTCCAGCCTTATTGTGTATTGCATTAAAGATCTTACAGCCTTATTGATATAAAAAGAATCTATGCTATACTACATAATTCTTAGCTAAAAAAGAAGCTAATTACACAATTATTAGTTCACAATTTCACCAGAACTTCAATCTTTAAATAAATAATTACATAAATACCACTCAATTCCTATGTATTTACATATGTAACACCTAAATTTTAATTTTTTACCAAGATTTACATATATGTACCAGTCAATTCCTATTTATTTACATATATAACACCTAGACTTCAATTTTTACATATATGCCAGGTGTATTTCACATTTTAAAGGTTAAAATAGAAATGCTAAAAAAGTGTATAAATAAAGTTCAGGTGCTATACATGCAAATACATAGGAATTGGATGGCATGCATACAAATGCCCCAAAGAAAAATAGGAGTGCCGACTGAAGAAAATTGTCTTTACTTATACTCATTGTCCTCATCTTAATTGACCAATACTCCTCAAAAACTGACATTAAATATGTCAATACCTGTAAGCAAATCAAAATACCACCACAGTCAACTGAAAACTCAAAACCATTGATATCCTTCCAACACTCAAATTCACAATATAAAGATCAAAAACCCCAAAACCAGAAAAAAATGAGGGAAATTTACTGAGCACACAGTTCAAACGTGAAATATCAACAACAACAACGTGTAACAAACCTGTAATATGTAACAAACATGTACCATTCCATAACACTGTTCTAGCAAAAGACAATTGTAAAACAGACATAATGTAAAAGGTAAAGCCTTGGAGGAACAAATGCATTGGCATCAATAACAAAATATTGCATTTAAATCAATCAAGTACCTTAAGAATCGCTCAAACTCAAAACCAAAAATGCAAAACTCTTTGAATAACTTAATTTTGCAAGTATTTGGCGGAGATGATCATTGTACATTAACGATGTAATGCATTTCAACCTTCCAATACTGAAAAATTACAGTGAAATAAAACGGGAGAATCATTCTACAACCAAATAGGCTATATTAATTTTAAGCCTTGAATCAA